GAAAAGGCACAAGACTTAGGATGTCCACTATCCCCACTCTGTTTATTTTAACTTTGGAAGTTCTAAATAGAAATATTAGGCAAGATCCAGAAATTAAAGGATTGAAAATAAAAGGTGAAATCTATAAATTGCAAGCATTTGCATATGATTTGGTATTCATTTTAGAGGAGCCTTTAGAGACGATGCTTAAACTGTTGGAAAAGATAGAACAATTTGGAGAGATAGCAGGATTAAAGATAAACAGAGAAAAAAACAGTGATAGTTAAAAATCTTACAGATAAACAAAAAAAGCGACTATCAGAAAAAATAGAATTGCAAATAGTCAAAAAGGTCAAATACTTGGGAATATATCTGATAGCAAGTTAATATAGATAACTATATTAAATTGCTAAACCAAATAAAGCTTGATTTGGAAAAATGGGACAATCTGCAACTGTCGATGTTAGGAAGAATTGCTACGGGGAAAATGAATATATTACCGAAAATATTGTTTCTATTCCAAATGATACCTATAAAACTTGAGAAAAAAAAATCTTGGAAGATTTAAATTCACTAATTTTGAAATTTATTTGGCAAGGAAAGAAAGCTAGAATTAAATTGAAAATGTTACAAGAAGCTAAAGGAAATGGAGGTTTTGGCTTACCAGAATGGGTTTTATATTATCAAACACGGGTAAAAGAATGGATAACTCCTAGAAACAAAAGGTTTTTATAGTTGGATGAACATGATTTACAACTTGGTTGGCATGCTTTTTTATGGTATGGAAAAAATAAAATACATAAATATTTCCAAAACCATTATATTGGAAACGAACTATTATTATTAACATGGGAAAAAATAAAATGTAAGATCTATTTGAAAATTCCAGGATGACTCTCAACAATGGAAGCATTTGTACATCCAAATCTAGTCAGTCTCATAAAATATCCACATATAAAGATATTCTAAATTCTGATGGGAACTTACAATCTAGGCAACAGATGGAAAATCAGGGTATTGATTTAACATGGT